GCGGCGAAACAGGGAGGAAATGTATCTGTCGGATGAGATTTCCTTGGCGACACGCAATTCGAGGTGATTAAATATCGACAATCCTTCAAATTTATCACTTTCAACTACAATATTTTCGAAAATAAAATAATTTGTAGTATTAGTTAGAACATCTCAATATGTATTAACAAAAATCGTAATGGAGTGATAAATACTTATTTAATATAGGGTCTGATTAAATTTGATTTCGTGCATTGCAATTCTTATTTATGAAGGAACGATGCTTTCAATAGGACTTTTCTCATTCCGAGAAGTTCAAACTCGATGTCTATGACTAAGAGTAGAGAAATCTCAGTTATCCTATCATAATCACGTTGATCCTACCACTAACTTTAATTTAGATACACACTTTTGAAATAAAAATGGAACAGTCAATATTGGGGATTTTTTTAGCATGTGCCTGTTGTGTATTAATTTGTTACCACATATTTTTAAGTGCATTTTGTGATCCAAAGTTTTTATAAAATAATTGTCACATTCAAGTATGATAGTTATAAATAGAAATTATTTTTCTTTATAATTATTTTAGCTCTTATCATAGCATCAATCAATACTTCAATATTATTACCGGTCTTTACTATTTATTCCATTCATTAACTTTTAAGTTTGCAAGAAAATTCACTCATCAATAAAACACATACCCCCTCCCCCTCAACAACTTACTTATTTCCGAACGACATCAATTTGAAAAATAACTTTTGCTAGAGAAAATAGGCCCCATATAACGTCTTCCATTCACGTTCCATTGAACGGATCACATTATATGAAAACATAAGATATGGTGAAATGTGAACTCAAAAAGTTTAGTCAACTATATGGATATTGAGTCCGACAGTCTGTAAAAAATAATCGTAGTTAACATGATATTAAGTTCAACGATGCAAACAAACTAATTAAAATGATACAACGTTAATTTTAGTTAACAACGAGTTAATTGATTTGATTTCTTTATATTGAAAATCTATAATCGAAATGCATATAAACAAAGAAGAAGAGAGAACCAAATATTGGGCCCAAGCACTAATTGGGCTTTCTCTAAATGTTGCTAAAATCAGCTCACTATGGAACAAAATCTTATCATTTTTAACCAATCGACTAAAAAAAAAATGTTACTCACATAACCACAATTAGTGGCGGAATCAAGTAGTGTCAAGGGGTCAATCGAACTCCCTTTGTCAAAAACTATGAAAAATAGAGGAAAAAAATGATATATTTTTAATTATATGTGAGATGTTGAATCACGTTGACATGAGATATGGTTCAAAATTGCTTTTAAGTCCTGTGTTCAAATTACACTTGTGACACTCTAGATTTTTTTTAAAAAATTCCCTTATATAAATTTTTGATAACCCATCACTAACAATAATAAATTATAGTCGTTGTCAGAGTATACTCAATATACACATTAATTATAGAATAATTATATTGACTAATAAGTTCATGTGGGGTAGAGTTATAAATTAAAGATGTAGGGTTATTAAAACTTACCTAGCAAAAATAATTTCTAATTTATCTTTTCATTTTGCTTTCATAGCAAACACAAGAGAAATTTAGAAAAAATAATATTTAAGAGGAAATTTCAACGTATTCTAATAAGTTGATTAAAATTATAATCGTTATGAAAATTGATTTTTTTTTCATTTAGTTATGGGGTCTACATCATTAAAAATTTTCAATAATTAAAAGTTAAAATGAAAAATACATATCACTTAATCATAGTTATAAAAAAACATAATATCTTATTTTTATTAATTTGATGTAAATAAATATTTTTATCAAAATAAAACAATTAATTTATTTGTGAAACGTCTCTAAATAAAACTATAGTGTATGTGGATATTTTTGAACCACTTCCTTCGAGAAGGGGAAAAATTAAACTTTGACAATAGAATCCAATCGAGTGGCCATTAATGAAAGATCCAATGACATGTCTATCAAGATATTAAAGGTGATGTTGGCACCTATTAAAGGTGTGATCGAATCATCAATATAAATATATTTAAAATTTTAATTTTTTTAATTTTATTAAATTTGTAATTTTAATTATAGATACACGATTAGTGAAGTTGTGTAATTTTTAAAATTACTGTTCAAATTTCAATAAAAACAAAAGTTAATAAATAATTTTTTTCTCATCCATTTAAACCTTGGTGTAGAGTTATCAAATACTTGAACTGATTTACAAAAGCGGATGCAGAGGTGATGACTTGATAATATGAATAAATTCATTAATTTTAGTTCAAATTTTGTATTATTTTTTTAAAAAATTATTCATATATATGATTTATTAATTTAGATTGCAGTAATTCAAAAAAGTAAAATCTTTGGATCTATAAAATTCAAATCTTGAATTAGCTATCTTTATTGATGAAACATAACATGTACATAATAAAATGATCGAGGTAAGCCCAAGTTATTTCAACAATAAAACGATAAAGATGATTTTGACACACATATATACGGTATACCACTCATTCCATTTTTTAACAAAAAATATTTTATTTTAATAACTCATTATATTGACCTCAGATTAACGGCAGAAAAACCTTACCATCTCAATCACACCTTGAATAATGATTGCAGAAAATATTAGTTGAAATTTTGGCATTTAAGTCTTGTCTAAATCCTTCCTAATCACAATACACCCCCTTTGGCTCATCAATATCAAGTCTTTTCCATTTTGTATCACTTACTAATATTGCTTCATAATTTAGAAACACATTAATTATGTGTGAAATCAATTTTTTTCCATTTTATAAAAGTAAATTTCTAACACTTGTACTTTAGCTTAAAGAAAATGACCTTTTAATTAAACTAATACTTAGGGATAAGAGTCTGAAAAATACCCTTACTTTGATCGGATTTGCTATTGCGATACTAAACTTTCATGAGGACCTATTACCTCCTTAGACTATTTAATACCGTATTTTAAACATATATATTTGCCCACGTGGACGTAAAAAATAATGCAAAATTATAAATAATAATGTGTCCACGTGGGCACATATATACCTTTAAAATACACTATTAAATAGTTCAGGGGGTAAAAAATACGATATTAAATAGTCTAGGGAGGTAATAAGTCCTTATGAAAGTTAGTATCGCATCAACAAATCCGACCAAAGTTGAGGTATTTTTCAAACTCTTATCCCTAATACTTACTATAATTTCATTTCTTTTTGTACATAAGTACTCTTCCTATGAAATAAAAGAAAAGGTACTAAACCAATTGAAATTAAAAAAAATTGAATAGTGACTCACCAAAACTAGAAAATAAATAAATATCACTTCTTTTGAGGTTCACGAATCCTATTGGAGGGAGATAATTCAAAAAAAGTGATTCGATATAGCAATTCAGGTTCGTTTGTATTGAACGTTGCTATTAGATTGGACACGTGTTAGTTATCGGATATATAATTCAAAAGTCGTTTTGATTCACTGATTTAATATTTGCGAGAAATAAAAATATCATATAACTTGCATTTCAAATTTCTAGTGATCGATGAAGGAATATTTGTTTTAAAAAAAGGACTTTCAAACATTTCGCAATTGCTTTAAATTTATAAAGTTGAAAAGAATGTGATGATCATCATGTATCAAGCACGGGACCGTTACAAGTGAGACAAAAATAAAAAGATCAAAGAAGGGACATATATTCTATCTTCTCTTATAAACTTAAAAGATGTAACAATTTAATATGTTACATCATAGGAATATTAATGTGTACATTACAAGCTTAACTTCAATACTTAAAAAAAAAATGAAAGGTCAACAACAAGGAAGAGAAAAGTCAATGCTTGAATCTGAAAATAATAATAAATCAACTTAGTAAAATATAACTCAAACCTTAATCATGGATATTGCTTAAAGAGAATCTAAGATCTTTGTTTAGGAGATTATTTTATATAAAAAGACGTGTGGAATAACAAAAATTGTCTTTTATATTTTTGATATGAGATTTCATATATAAACTTTGGAAATGAAAGAATTTCTAAAAGGAAACGTTTTCTCTTTTAATAGATTCGTCTATAGGTGACACAAATTTAAATTAATCAAATAAATTTTTGATATTATATAAATAACAAATCATCTCGTACTAATTATTAACATATACTTCCAATGACAAGTGGATGAATTTCATTCTTGGAAGAAAATGTAAAAAAATTATCATTCAACTTTTTATTACAATTTAAATTACCTTCGAGTTGGAGCTTTCCAAGAAGTCAAATAGAAAAAAAACAATTTTTTTCTTTCACAACGTGTAAGTAATGCTAGATAAAAATTCAAAAGTTTAATAGACAAGGATATTATTCATTTTCGAATAATACTAGAGTAAATTTCACCCTTTTTCCTCTTTTAAAAAACCTTAGAATATTTAATCCTCTATTGATTCTCCAATTTTTTGAATGATTAAAGCCTTTTGAGCATATAATTTGGTTTAATACAAATGGACAAAAATACCCTTCATAGATTAAGCTCTCGTTTGGGCATAAATTTTGGCGATCAAACTTGACAATTGAAATTTGAGTTTTTAGATTTTAAAGTTTTATTTGAATACACATTTTACATGATTCATTTTTTGTAGTTTTATGAGTTGAAGTGAGTTTTCTTCTCAAAACTTAATGAGCCTGATTTTGAAAACTTGAAAATACTGAAGATTGCTTCATTTAAACTCTGATCAAATTTCATAATTAAATAACTATTTGAAGATAAATTTCAAAATTTGATTTAAAATTTATAATCAAACGTTATCTGAAATTTTTATAGCCAAATATATATATATATATATAAACATAATTATTCAAAATCTATGACGAGACGCTAGCTAAAAATCCATTCTTTCTTCTACAGGACAGCTGCAAATTGCTGCAGACACATGAGCAAGAAGCTCATGTCCCTCTTTTATTGTAATATAATATAATATATCCTCTGTGAATATGACTAATCTCTCTAAAGCAGCCATTTTTATTGCAATTTAAAGCTAATTAATCATCAGTCAAAAAGTTTATTGGTCAATAAATGCAACTTTTTTTTTTTGGTTCAAAAATTATCTTGAAAATTCAATCTTTCTGAGAGTATGAGGTAGATACATAGTCAACCCTTCTGTCAGAGCCAGTTGCAGAGAGCAAAAAAATCCATCTTTTTGCTTAAAAAATCAATCTTTCTTCTATAGGAAAAAGCCCAAGAAACCCCTTTTCTCTTTGTAGTATATTTTTCATTATCTACTTGTTTAGTTTGTATATTTTCAGCTGTTTTCAAGATTACAAATGAAACAAGAAAAAAGGTATTTCTTGATAGTATCATTAAACCTTTGTGTTTTATGCTTCATTTTGCAAATAGATAAATGTTCTGCTGTTGATCCACAGTTTGTAGTATGTAATAATTCAGTAAATTGTAGACATGGTCCAAGAATAAGCTTTCCATTTTATATTGAAGATGTTCAAGAATCTTATTGTGGGTACCCTGGATTTGGGCTATATTGTAGTGAACAAGGGTTTCCTGCTGTACATATAGCTGGAAATGAGTATGTAGTTGAAGATATTAGATATCAAGATCATACTTTTCAGCTTAAAAATTCAGTCTTTAACAGTAGTGTAAGGAATGGATGTGTTTCTGATATCAAGAATATGTCACTCGATAATCGCCCTTTTCAGTTTGTTAAGAAATCAAAAATTTACTTGTTGTCGAAGTGTAATGGTTCGATATCTGAGAATCTTTCGAAGCACATGATTCGTTTTGGTTGTGGTGGAGAAAATGTGAATGATTATGGTTATGCAATGTTAGCTGATGATGAAAGCTTTGAGTCTGCATTACAAGTGTGTGAAAAACATGTAATGGCACCAGTAGAAATGCTTGGTGATGAGGGAAGTAATCGAGATGTTGACTATCTGGGGATTTTGAGAAGGGGGTTTAGATTGAAATGGACTGCTAGTAATTGCAGTGAATGTGCAGAAAGTGGAGGACATTGCGGATTTGATGTTATCGATTATCAATTCGAATGTTTCTGCACTGACAGGCCTCATGCATCGAGTTGCAAACCTTCCAGTAAGCCCCTATGACCTTATCTATCAGTTAATTTCCAGTATAATTATGCAGCACCTTATGCTATGACTAGGCACCGTGCTTTAAGGTTTTTTCGTGTGATAGCATGATGATTTAAGTATCAAGATACAGCTAAATTAATCGAATGGATTAAGCTATGGATGATTAAAAATGTGTTTACTACAAAGTGCAGCCAAGGAGATATCCTTACAGCTTCAAAGGATAAGTTAAATTTCCAGTATAGTTATGCAGCACCTTATCTTATGATTATGCTCCGTGCTTTAGGTTCTTTTCGTGTGATTACAAGCGCCCAAAAAATGTAACTTGATTTAGGCATCATGATACAGCTGATTTAATCCTTATTCGTAGTATTATTTAGTAGTCACGTAGTTTCTTATTCTTTAATGTGTATTACTATCTGTTGCTTCATTTGCTTTATATCTTGTTATTTTGCTGTCATATTTTTCTTGGAATCCTGCTATGAAAACGTTTCTTTGAGCTGAGGGTCTATCGGAAACAACCTCTTACCCCAAAAAGGTAGGGCTAACTGCAGGAAGTATCCTTATAGCTGCTAATAACTTATCTACTGAATGGTGTCTAGTTTTGATTAATCCAAGCGTTTTCTGGTTTGATATTTTGTCCTGTTAATCTTTTTGTTACACCAGTATTATTTTGTTAAGTATACAAGGATACCAATTGAAAACTTCTTTAATTCTATTCTCAATCTAATAGGCCACTGAATCTCATTTTTCTTAACCCATTCAACTTCACATTTTGAGTACAAAATTACAGACTCAAGGTCTGTTAAAGGAAAACCGCTTGTGATCATATCTGATTTGAGCTTCATCTATGATAATTCATATCTAAGAAGCGATCTTTAATGATACTTATGAAGGACTAGGTTAATAGTTTGACATGATTAGTTGAAGTAGGCTAATATGAACTCAGCAACCGGGTTGTTAACAAACCACAGCTGTAATTAGTATGTATACATTGGCTGCACATATTGAGCAGTTGCTTGTTTGACGGAATCAGAACTTACATTATTGACTTTAATATAGGTAGGAAACTGCAACATGTAAAACCTAGTCAAACTTAAAATAAGAATAAGTAGAACATTTCAGAAGTATGTAATCAGGAGCTGACTTTTATCTTACTTTAGTAACTTTAATATTGGTAGAAAATTGCAACAACTACTATGTTTTATACTTGGCATACATTACATATTATTTTACTTGAGCCGAGGGTCTATCGGAAACAACCTCTCTACCTTCTCGAGGTAGGGGTAAGGTCTGCGCACATACCACCATCCCCAGACCCCACTTGTGGGATTACACTGGTATGTTGTTGTTGTATATGTTACATATTATTCCTTCTTACTCATCAAGTACCCTTTTTATATCTTAGATATAAATCCATGTTTATGTGGTTTTGGTTATTTACGCCACTTTACTAAACCTCCAGCAGTCACTAAATTACCAAAAGTATCTCCTATGAGAGCCAATCATTTTGGTTAGTGAATGCTGGCATAGTGAGTTATTCGTGCATAGCTCTTCTGAGGTTTTTTGCTTTTGATCGATCTCCCTTCATGTTTGGCTCAACTATATTATAGTAAATCTTTAATTGTTTCAATAACTCTATTCCCATAAAGTGCGCCAAAAACGCAATTGCCTGTGCTTCAAATGATGTGAATCATCCCTATCCTGTTTTAGACAGCGGGAAAACCAAGTCGATTGTAGTGCAATGCCTTGAGAGTCATATGTTGTTGCACCAGTTAAAATAGGAAAAAGAAAAGCAATAAGAAATGCCAATAGATAGAGTATTTAAGGTTGTCAGAAAATGAATTAATACTACAATGATCTTGGAATAAGTTAGTGGCTGTGAAAGGACAGCAACCATTCTGGCTCTGAAAATGGTGAACCTGTTTGTTATCGCTCTGTTAGGATTTGCCAGAATCATTGCTGGATGGTAACTGCTACTTACCAAGCTGCTAATTTAAGATTCTAGGCATAAGATACTGATTATTTGCAGAGTTATAAAAGCTAACAACGATCAACGAGGCTTTCATGTGCATCATAAACATCAAAAACTCTTCTCTTATCTATTACACCTGCTGTCCCGTGACTTGACACGGAATTCTAGAAATAAAGGGAGACTATTGAATCTCATGGTCTTAAATCAAAGATGTGTGTAGTCCTTTTAATCTTGTGGTCTTAAATTTGCCAAGTAGAATGTTGGAATTGGAAAATTTACTAAATATAGAAAGAGACACTCTTTTTTGGACATACCAAAAAGGAAAGTAATACATTTAAATTGAGACGGAGGGATAGTATAAACTGCATAATCTGATTTGGAGAGGATTATATTCTATTCTGTTCTTTTACTACCTGTTTGCGTTTAGTATAGTTTGGCAATAGTGAGATTATAGGTGAGTTTTCACTTATTCCACTCCCTTAATTCATGGTCATAAAGTGCTAACTTGTCTGAGATTGACCTATGAATTTTTCTCGTATGGTTATTTTCGGTGCTGTTCTAAATGTGGCATTAAAGAAAACCAATGTCTAAACGACAATCCTTGGACATTTCTAAAGATTGTATAGCACATCCAGAAGCAGTTGCCTACTGGTCCAAAACCAATAATTATAAATGCATGTCCCTGTATGTCCATTTCCATCCACTGAAACATTTTATAAGTTCTATTTCTTTCTTGTCAGATGCAGATCATTATTTTTCGATACTACCTCCTCCACGATTTGTCTGACATTACTTCATTTTCAGGGAAAAATAATTTGGGGTTGATTCTTGGCTCAGGTAAATCAGTACTGTACTATTATTATTATCCCTGAATTTGACATTTCAACATAGTTCCACATCTTGTTAACTTCATTTTTGCCTTTTTCAGTTTTAGGTGGAGCTGTGTTAATAATCCTTGTGGTCACTTTCATCGTTTGTTGTTACAAGAAAGAACACAAAAGTTGTTTGTACTTCACCTCGAGAAAAAAATCTTGTGATCGTTCCTTAACGCATGATTTTGATGGAAGTAGTAATTACCATGGAGTCTCGGTCTTCTCCTATGTTGAACTTGAAGAAGCTACAAGTAACTTCGATTCCTCCAATGAACTAGGAGATGGAGGTTTTGGTGCTGTTTACTATGGTAAGTATCTTGAAGCAAATCAGATGTTCAAATGACATGACTAGATAGCTAAATTTGTACTACCTTTCTTACTAGGTAAACTTAAGGATGGGAGAGAAGTTGCAGTGAAGCGACTTTACGAGCACAATTGCAAGAGAATGGAACAGTTTAAAAATGAAATTGAAATTCTCTCTCGCCTAAGGCATCGAAATCTTGTTACCCTTTATGGTTGCACATCAAAGCACAGCCGTGAACTCCTCCTTGTTTATGAATACATTCCCAATGGAACAGTGGCAGATCACCTGAATGGGGATAGAGCAAAGGACGGATTCCTCCCATGGCCTATCCGCATGAATATTGCTGTAGAAACTGCTTGTGCATTGGCTTACCTCCATGCTTCTGACATAATACATCGCGATGTGAAGACTAGCAACATACTCCTCGACAGCAATTGTTGTGTCAAAGTTGCAGATTTTGGGCTTTCGAGACTTTTTCCGAATGATGCTACTCATGTCTCAACTGCTCCTCAAGGGACTGCTGGATATGTTGATCCAGAGTATCATGAATGTTACCAGCTCACTGATAAAAGTGATGTTTATAGTTTTGGTGTTGTCCTTGTTGAACTTATCTCATCAATGCCTGCTGTTGATATTACTAGGCGTCGACATGAGATCAATTTGGCCAACTTAGCAATAAATAGGATTCAGAGATGCGCATTTGATGAGCTAATTGATCCATCTCTGGGATTTAAATCAGATGCACAAGTTATGAGAATGACTACTTCAGTAGCAGAGCTAGCATTTCAATGCTTGCAGCTTGAAACGGACTTGAGACCAAAAATGGATGAAGTACTAGAGACACTTAAACATATTCAAGGCACCTATACGGATCAAATCAAAGATGAGAAGACGAATGACTCAATTGTTGATAACACAGAATGTAATGGTGAAAAAGTCCCTACTTCTCCTACATCAGATAAAATAGTTTTGTTAAAGAAAATGCATTTGCCACCTTCACCTATTTCTGTAACTGAGAGGTGGGTTAGTAGCTGTGGCAGTAGTAATGTTAGCGGGTGAAATTCTTACACTCTTTGCTTTCATTTCAACATAAATGTTACAAATATGTACTTATTGATAATCTGTAAAGGAATAAGTTGCTGAGACGTTCTTTTTATCTTTATTAGTTTTTACTCTTGTTCTTTGTTTGCCGTTTTCTGAACACAGTGGAGTGTAACTATTGAATATGGACATGCTTTCTGCACTAACGAGCATGCATATTTTTCACTATCCTGGATTTGAGGTTACTTAAATGAATATCAGCCACTTTCCTGGGACATTTGACAACTACTATGTGCAGTTCTTATGACCAAATAATGCTGTGTGCATAATATTTTCTTTACAGAACATGGTGATGGAGGTTTTGGAACAGTTTACCATGGTAAGAAGCATATCGACTTGAGCTACACAATGCATCAGTTGCAAAATTCAGGAAATCAGCAGGTATTTGGCAGATTTTTCATCATGTAAAAGTACTGTGGTTTAGTAACTCAATATATATATATACACCAGCTAACAGTGCACATTCTTAGGTGAACTCAGCAATGGTAGAGACGTAGCAGTAAAACGACTCCATGGAGACATCATATCTTGTTACTCTCTGTGATTGCACTTAGAGGTGCAACAGTGAACTCCTGATTTATGAGTACATTTCACAGTGTAAAAGTTCGATGCACATCATTTTCAGGATGAGAGAGCAAAAAATTACCAAATTTGGCAAGTGTAGACATGCAAAATTTTATGAGATCGTCCATACAAACTTTGGAGTTTTACAATGCCTCAGCTCTGGGAACAGGAATGAACTGAGTGCCCCGAAAATGCTATCCAGTTTATGAAATCTAAATCTCCACCATAACCAAATTCCACAGATGATGGGTGGTTTAGTGGCTCTACCACAACCAACATTAGCCGTCCTGCTTTACAAAATCCCCTCTTGACATTTTGATGTATCACAAGTTTGTATATTTTATGCCCCATTTCTTCTCATTGTTTTGGTCTCTGATTGTATGTCGAGTACATTCCTAACCTATCAGGATGTACACTGTAAATGGATCTGCCTTCCATCAACCAGTGTGAGACACTCTGTGATTGATTATTTAGCTTATGGACAAAGCTCTTCAAACTGTTTCTGATACGGAGACTGGAATTTTTTTGATTGAGAACATCGAGTTGATTTCTTAAATGGTCTGATCATTCAACTATTGGAAATAAGTAAACAAAGTTACTTTTCTGATACAATGAAGTTACTTTTCTTTCTTTTGTATCAGAAAAGTCGCTTATCTTTTGCTATTTCACTCAGAAGGTCATTTTTCTTTCTCTAGTATCGGAAAAGTCACTTATCTTTTGCTATTTCACTTGAGAGATCAGTCAAGCCGGAGTGTGATATATCCGGCTACTTTTTAAAGCACTTTGTTCACCTATTCCAGAAGAAAGTGACCCATAACCAAAATACTTACTGTTCTTACCAACTTCCCTTTATCTTATGGAAATATGATGTGATCCAAAATACTTGCCTTTTGCTTAGGAAAGAAGGTACATACTTATTAAGACTGTGCATGGGATTTTCTTTAAAACAGAAAAAAAAGAGCACAAATATCTTATCTTATGAGTCAATGATTCAAGTCTTTACATAGTATACTTAGTCAATGAGAATGGAGAGTGGAAAAGTCTTTTATGTTGGCCCTCACTTGAGTCCTGTTTCCTTTTTCCAAAGTCTTTGTAACAAAATTCCAAGTTCACATATAGAAAAATAAACCAAATAACAAGGTTAAATTCCAATTTTCTTGCTGTGTGAGACCATATAGAGTACACAATATGGCTTCTGCTTTCTTGTTTTTCTGTTGTTTAATGATCTTTAGCCTACATCAAGTACTAGGTAATTCCAAATCCAACTGCACCGATGAATTCGAGTGTGGAGGCCTTGGAGCTATGAAGTTTCCTTTCACAAATTCCAGCAACCCTGAGTGTGGATTATGCAGGTTTGATTGTCCTACTAAACCATATCCTAAGATTGTAATTGGTGGACAAAAATATGATGCTTTAGTGAAGAAGGGTGATTTTTTCCTTATTTCAGATCCTAAACTTCAAGAGTACTTAGATAGCAGAAAGTGCAAGTCTTTTTACAGAAACTTCTCATTTCCAAATTCCCCTTTGATCTCTTTCCAAATTGTTCCTAACTTAACCTTGTACAGATGCAAACATAGTCATGACAACACCATCCAGAAGACAAATGATTCCTTTTTCAAAGATTTTGATAGATATACTGAGTGTGGAAGTTTTAATGTTTACTATCACCATCCCAATAAAACAATATTGGGAAATACTAGTGCTAAGATTAGTGGCAAACTTCCAAAGCACTGTTCACTTGTACAATTGCCAATTCCATTGCCTACACCATCAAAACCATATGCAAGTGACTTGTTTGAACTGTTGACTTCTAGTGCACTTCTAAACTGGGAGTTATCCAAAGATTGTCATCTGTGTCTTGACAAAGGAGGGAAATGCCAGATGATCGATGAACACGAGTTTCATTGTTCCATGAAAGGTATATATAGTATTGTTAAGAAATAACTATTGTTCTGCTTGTTTTCTATTGAGGTTTATCTAAAAAGATTTATCTTTTTTCCTTTACTGCAGGACAAAATGGACAAAGTAATTCGAGAATGATAATTATGGCCTCAGGTAATTATCTAGACAATGACCACATTTTTATAGTAGTAGGGGCTTCGGAGCAACGGTAAAGTTGTCTTGGGTTTTGAGCAGTGGAATCAGCCACTGAAGCTTGCATCAGGGTAGGCTGTCTACATGACACCCCTTGGGGTGTGCCCATTCCCCGGCCAGGCTCCTTTTTTTTTGTGGTACACTTTCAAAGGATTAGATTTTGATTACTGTATCTTGTGTTTTCTAGTTTTAGGTGGAGTTGGTTTGATCCTGCTATCTTCCATTGTCGCCTTTTCTATCTGGTGTCGCAAGAGAGGGAAGAATGATTCGACACAATTTCATGGGGATCTTGAGGTAGAGAGCAAATATTTTGGATTTCAGGTTCCAGTTTTCACCTATGCTGAACTTAAGGAAGCCACCAACAATTTTGATCCCTTGAATGAACTAGGAGATGGAGGTTTCGGAACTGTATATTATGGTAAGTTTTTCTTTGAACCTAAGAATTATGTTAAAAAGACAGCAATTTCCAAAAGGTGAAAAGTAGCTAGTGTTCATGCTCAGTGGCGAAACCAAGAGTTTCGTTGAGGGTGTATAAACACTTTAACTTGGCCTCAATTGACAACTGGACACTCCAACTTTGAGTATGAACATCCAGGCACCTCAACCGTCTTGTGTCAGTTGAATACTCCAACTTACAAAATGATCATCTAGACACCTCCAAAATTTATGTGCCACGCCAACATTGGATGTCTACGAGACACGGTGGGGACGAGTTGGAATGTTTAGTTGCCAGTTGACACTAAGTTGAGGTATCTAGATGTGCACTCTCAAAATGGGAGTGCTTACTTGCCGTCTGAGTCCAAGTTTGAGTGTCTATTTATGTATTATGCCTTTAATATATATGTATATAAAATCCTTCTCAAAAAAAAAATATATGTATAAAATGTAACTTTTGACCTTTATACTTGGTATAATTTTCGGTTGTATAATTTTGACGAAGGGTGTTCAACTGATCACTTTTCACCATGTGTCCAGAAAACTCAGTATCTCATTGTTATTGCACATTATGAATTAGGAAAACTATATGATGGAAGAGAAGTTGCAGTAAAATGCCTCTATGAGCACAACTGCAAGAGAATGCAGCAGTTCACAACCGAAATCGAGATTCTTACTCGTTTGAGGCACCAAAATCTTGTGTCCCTTTATGGCTGCACATCAAGACGCAGCCGTGAACTTCTCCTTGTTTATGAATACATTCCACATGGAACAGTTGCTGATCATCTCCAAGGTGAAAGAGCAGCAGAGGGATCTCTCACGTGGCCCATCCGTATGAACATTGCAGTTGAAACAGCCAGTGCATTGGCTTACCTTCATGCTTCTGATGTGATACATCGCGATGTCAAGACTAACAACATCCTTCTCGACAACAACTTTCGTGTCAAAGTAGCAGATTTTGGACTCTCGAGACTTTTCCCCAACAACGTTTCTCACATATCAACAGCTCCTCAAGGAACGCTTGGGTACGTTGATCCTGAGTATCACGAATGTTATCAGCTTACTGACAAAAGTGACGTTTACAGTTTTGGGGTTGTCCTTATCGAGCTTGTATCATCAATGCCAGCTGTTGACTTAAAAAGGCACAAGAACGAGATCAATTTGGCTAACTTGGCGATAAACAGGATACAAAGATGTGCATTTGATGAACTGATTGATCCATCACTCGGGCTAAACTTAGATACGCTTGCTAAGAAAATGACTATCTCTGTCGCGGAGCTAGCTTTTCGATGCTTGCAACTTGATAAGGATATCAGGCCAACAATGGATGAAGTATTGGACATTTTAAGAAAGATTCAAGGTGGAGAGTTTCATCAAAATGAGAAGACATTTGACACTAGTGCTAGTTTTAATTTATCAAAGTCTAAGAGTGTTAATATCCCTCCATTTTCCCCTGAATCAGATCAAGTTGCACTGTTAAAGAAAGTTAAGTTCCTAAGTTCATCAGATACTAATAGTGAGGTATGGATTAGTGGCTCTACCACAACAAGCACTAGTGAGTGAGTGACTATCTATGTTGCTCGGACACTCAAAAAATGTTGCCGCACTCATGTTAGATCCTTAAAAAATGCATGGCTTTTGGAGGATTTGGCACACACCCGATGATATTTTTGAAGAGTTCGAGCACCATTGAATATCTTAGCTAATATAGTTTTCAGACTTCAGAATCTACTAACTCTTAGGTAAAGCATTTGAGCTTATAGGAATGTACATATAATAAATTATGTTCTTGATGTTATGCTTCTTTTGCTTTTTCAATTGTCAATGTTCATGAAATTACCTCTTTTTTTCTGATTTTTTTCTGGTCCTAAGCTATGTTGCTCGGACCCTCAAAAATGTTGCTCTGCACCCGTATCAGATCCTTAAAAAGTGCATATCTTTTGAGGATCCAACACACACTGAATGATATTTTTGAAGAGTCTGAGCACGATAG